CTGGTGTAGAAGAAGTTTAAAAAAAAAATGTTCTAACCTCTTTTCTTTTTTCTAATTTTGGACTTCAATACGGGAGATTGGGAAAGGGAAAAGAGTCAAAAGCCATTCTTTAATTTCTAAATAGGCTCACAAGTAAACCATTTAGGCCCAAAAACAAATGGTCTTCCACTAATTTCTAAATGGACTCGCAATTTTATAGGTCTATTGTATAAGAAATATATTTTAAAAGCCCTTATATAGTGTATTAATAGGGCCCTTCTTATCATCCTTACTTCCTTAGATGTCGAATAACAATTATTCCAAACTAATGTGAGACATACAGAATTTGGCAATACTGTGGGGGTCTAATTGAAATTCCTTCAATATTTGGTTAAGGATAACGTCTTCATGCTTTGGCCTTTCAAATAGTTCCTCCTCAGCTTCCCCCTTCTCGCAGCAAGAAATTCGAACCAAAAATGGAAGCAACAACAATTCATCACTGAAATCTGAATTCAGCACATCTTAATAAACAATGGTTTCCTCGATTCTTCTTCAGCAATCCATTAATTGCTTCATCTACAACTACCAGGTGCCCACTGTCCCTCTTTCTCTCCCTCCATTTTTATCTATGTACGTACCAATAAGGTTAACTGGGTTCATTTTATCGGAATTGAAACAGTTAGGAAAGAATTTGAAGAATGGATTGGCGTCAACTAAACCCAATTTGCTGCAGAAATGTACCTGTAGTAGGAGAAGTAGAGGCATTAGAGCTAGAGCTGCGTTTGATACTATTGAGACTGCTACTTCTCCTACTGCTTTCCCCTTCTTCCAAACCGATTCTCAACAAGAAGTCACACCTGCTTCTAAGGTCGAACATTGGTTTTTTTTATCTGTATTTGAGTTTCGCCCCCTTTGTGTAGGAATAAGGAATTGATATTCTGTTCTACATTGATCAACTCACATACATTTTATCAAACAGTTGGAGCTCGCAGACCCTGAATTTTATAAAATGGGATTCGTTAGAAGCATGCGAGCTTATGGGGTGGAATTCAGGGAAGGTCCAGACGGATTTGGAGTTTATGCCTCGAAAGACATTGAACCTACTAAACGTGCCAAGGTGAGTCTTGTTGCATTCATTATAGCTCTTTCCTTCGTCCAAACTCTCTTGAATTGTTCGATAAACGATGAATTCTGGAGAGCAATCATGTTTCTCCTTCATCTCTCAGGTTGTCATGGAAATCCCACTGGAATTGATGTTAACTATAAGCCAAAAAACCCCATGGATGTTTTTTCCAGATATCATACCAATCGGGCATCCTATATTTGACATTATCAACTCAACAAATCCAGAGGTATTCACCTTGTTTCTTTGTATTTCTCATCTCATTTGTACGACCTTTTGCTCACTTGTTGATTTGATTTGTTTTGCAGACGGATTGGGACCTGAGATTGGCGTGTCTTCTTTTATATGCATTTGATCACGACAAGAATTTCTGGCAACTTTATGCTGATTTTTTGCCTAGTGCTGAAGAGTGTACTAGCTTGCTTCTAGCTACAGAGGTTTGTATATATGGAATTGCTTTCAAGTTTCAACATATATAATGTTGACTGGTTACTTTTATTACAATTTTACAACTTATTACTTGCTTATCCAAATAGACTTCTTTTTTACCCTAAATCATAATCATAATCTTTTCACCCAAACACTCATTACAAGATTATTACAACATCAAAGTTGAAATATCATAACTAGTTCAATTGGCATACTACAGGATGACCTCATGGAGCTACATGATGAGAATCTTGCTTCAACCATGAGAAAAGAAAGATCACGAGTCTTAGATTTTTGGATAAAAAATTGGGTACTTTTTCATTCCTTTAATACCTTTTTCATTATGCATAAGTCATAACAAAACAAGACAAGACAAGATAAGACAACCTTGTATTGTGATCTTGATTCATGACCAATGGCAATGGGTCCCACCCAAAAAAAGTGTCTGCACAAAAGACATCAATACCCTCCTCATCCTGATCATATTTCTTGATTTCCAATGGTAGCACTCTAACATGCCCTTGAAAGTAAAACGACTTGCCCGAGATCCAGAAAGATTTGTTTGGGCAGTTAGTATGGCACAAACAAGACATATTAATTTCAGAATAAGAATTGGTTCATTAATTCAAAACGCAAATATGTTTGCTCCCTATGCAGGTATACCCTTTTTATTCTTATTTCCTTTTTTACCCTTTACTTCAAAACAGAATATCAAAACCATGTTCCTTTTTTGCAGATATGTTGAACCATTCTTGCAAGCCAAATTGCTTCTTCCATTGGAGATTCAGAGACCGAATGTTTGAGGTTATGACAAATGCTGGACAAAGGATTAAAAAAGGGGAAGAGGTCAAAAATCATCATCAGTATTACTTATTAATTCCTAATTATTCTACAATACTATAAAAATTTTAACCTTTATTTATTTATTTTTTCAGATGACAGTGAATTACATGAGTGGCCAGAGGAACACTACACTTATGCAAAGATACGGCCTTTCTTCACCCGATGTATGTTATAATTAATTCATTCTTAATTTTATAAAATTGGATAAAAATTCCAATTTTATTGTTTTTTTTTTATATTTACAGAATCCATGGGATGTGCTTCCATTCTCTGGAAATGCAAAGATTCATTTAGATTCCTTTTTATCAGTCTTCAACATATTCGGGTCTCACCAAGATTATTACCATAATGGTACGATTTATAATTCTCACTTTTATAAAAAGATTTTAATAATTCCACATCAATTTTGAAGGTGGATGATATTTATTTATTTGTCAGCTAAATTAGGAAATGAAGAAAATAGTTTTGTGGATGGAGCTGTTATAGCAGCTGCAAGAACACTGCCTACATGGTCTGAAAAAGATACCCCTCCAATCCCAAGTCAAGAGATAAAAGCTGTCAAATCACTTCAACAAGAATGTCAACAAATTCTTTCACAATATTCCACTACTTCAAAACAAGATCAACATATCCTAGGTAACCTAATTTATAATTTTATTACAACCTACTTTTCTTAATTATATCATTTTCTAAAATTTTGACTAGATTCTACTCCGGAAATGAGCTGCACACGTGAAGCTGCAATCAAGTATGTACTGTGTTTGGTTTGCATTGACGTGACACAGTCTGTCTGATGTCAATAGGACATTTTTTTTTTTTTTTGTTCCGGATGGTTCTTGATATCTCATCTGTGCAAAAGACGTAAATGTCCTTTCTGGTTGTGATGCAGGTATAGGTTGCATAGGAAGTTGTTTGTGAAGAAGGTGATGGAGGCTTTGGATATATACCAAGATAGGATTTTGTTTTAATTATAATTATAATTATAAAGGGCATGTAATTTTGTAGACTTGTAGGGTGTGTAGGGATGGGAGTAGGGTTAAAAGGGTCATTAAACAGCCCATTTGTTTTGAATCAAAGTACAAGTAGGGTATGTTTAGGCTTTAGACATGGATCTCTTCTTCACTTTTTTTTATTTTTCTTTTTTCTGTTTTTTTTATTGAATGCAATGTGTTTCTCATGGATAATGCATTGTTTGCATTTTAATTGTGTTATATAATTTTTTTTCATGTTTTAAATCAGTGTTCTCATAAAAATAGTATTATACCATATCTAGGTCCAATCAGATTGCTTTTTCGGTTACATGAGTATATAAAAATAGCAATGGAATATGTAATCTTTTTAAAGTAAAAATCCAAGAAAGTATAAAGAAGATAGTTGTATTTTGTGATCTATAATAGCGAAAAAACGTTTTAGAAATTTTTATCTAAAAACTTAATGGAATATATGGTTTTTATGACTTTTGTTTTCCTTAAAGTAGTATTTTGTTTTTTCGCTTTTGAAGTTACGGTTCGTTTGGTGTTGTTTTATCCGATTCGTTTTAATTTTGTAACCAATATTTCGGTGGATGATATTGATATAACAAAAAAAATTATAATGGTTGGCATTATGATGCAATTACATAAAAATATAGTAATATAACCATTTCACATTTAAACCTATAGTACACATATTCAATATAAGTTGTGACTTTTCATTTAAACCTATGCACATTCATTATAACTTTTTTTAATTGTAATTAACTAAAATATGCTTTAGTCAATTATATTAAACAACATTAATGCTGTTTTAAAATAAAACTGTATAAGTGCAATTATTAAAATAAGTTACTATAATATGAGATTTCTCACAATTTAATATTAGTCGATATACAAGAAAAAGGTTATGTATTTCACCTTTTTAAGTATATAATAATTTTTTTAATTATATATTTAAACTTTAAAATTTGGGATATTAATTTAACAGACCCTCGTGAACAAACTTATTAACACAAATAATTTTTTTTTTTAGTTTTCGAAATTCCAAAGTTTTTTTTTCTTTGTAATTATTTTTTTCAAAAAACTATTTATATTAATGTCTGAAATTTCATTTTCAAGTCTTTAATATTATCGTTTTAAAAAAATTGTCTGAGTTTAAGTTTTTGTGTTGTATATACTACATTTTGCTATGCGGCCTTAATTTTTTTTGTTAGATATTATTACAAACTTAAGCATTTCGTTGAAATTCCATGATTTTTAATTGAATTTTCGATTTGTTCTTAAAATTCTAATGTTTGTTTTTTCAAGATCCAAAATCCAAAATGCCAGTCCTTTTTTTTTTTTCATAAGAACTTTTTGAACAGTCCAGAATGAGTCATATTCGATTTGTTGCTTATTTTTGAATGGTTATTTTCTTTAATATTAATTTAAAATATTATTAGTTTTCTTAATTTCCCTTAAAATTTATATTATTATTGTTAGTGATTAGTGATATCACTTGCAATGTATTCATCATTTTAATTTTAATTTTATTATTATTAATGGATAGATATCGTAAATTGTCTAAAACTATTTGCTTTTTTTTTTTTATCAACTTTAGTATTTTAATAATTATAAAAAGAAAAATATTTTACAACCAAATACTGGGAGTATACTCGATAAGCTGCATTATATTTGAAGGCTTTTACAATAGGGTTAAAATGTCCTCCTCCGCCGCCACCGCCGCTTCTTTCCCCCCTTCTACACCGGTCTCCGATCGGTCTTCCGTTGGTCGTCGCCATACTTAACCTAAACTGATTCCCCCAATAATCGAAGCTCCAGCTGGTTTTCTCATCATCAGGTGTGTTTCTCTCAATTTTGACAACTTCAAGCCATTATTCTATAATGTATCTATGTTTTTTACATATTGCTTGTCCGCTTCACGCATTTATTATCTGTCTTGCTCACTTTTGTCTTCATCAATACTTCCACTTTTGCTTTTTAAAGGTATGTGACTTACATCCCTCTTTGTATTTCCACACAAAACCCTAATTTCTAATCAACATAACAGAATTTTTCATTTCAGTCTTCGTATGCCAAGTTACCCAATTAGCATAGACTTTTGCTTTTTACGTGATTTTTCGTTTGATTCTCTCAGGTACTACAATCGTTTTTCTTTGATTGAACTTCAAGTTCGTTTGATTCGTTCGTACGTCATTAGGCTCTTATTCTAGGCTTGTATTTGATTTCATTTTAATAAAAAGTAGATTTGAAGGGATATTCTCTGTTGGTTTTACTTGAGGCTTGATTGGTATCTTCAATGGTGACAAGCGTAAACATTTTGCATTTTTCCCCTTTCATGGACTTATGGTTGATTTGAAGATTATACTTGTATTACATATTTGATTGAATTTGACCTCAAAAGGGGTTTGATGAATACGAATTCAATATCATAGTTTGTTGTCTTTGATTTAGGGGATTATTTTGCATTGTTAAGTGAGAGGATTTAAAACCATTTTATTACTTATTATCTATCTATCATACCTCTCTTTTTGCACTTGCCATTTGTTTAGGAGGCTCTGCAAGCTGAAAGGGCTTAACCCTATTACCAAACAGTTAAATTGTACTATTGTAGTCACAAACACAGCAAGTTCTTGTATGTTTCTCTTTTATGACTGTAGTAGTGAATCAGTTCTAAAGATTTTATGTAAGCATATGATATCTTTTCTTCCACTTCTATTAGTTTTTCATTTAATACATGTGAGTATTTGACATAACATGCTTTGGATGTTGACTGACATTGATGCAACATGAATGCAGGTTGTTATATATCTGGATGAACGAGTCTTTTCATGCCTTATATGAGTAAAAGTCAAAGATGAAACCAAATACAAATGACATGTTGGGGGCACAAAGGGAAAGAAAGTTTCAGGGTCAAGGGCCAAATTGGATTCTCATAGCAGGTGGTGCTTTATTAAGTACAATATCAGTTCGTCTTGGCTACAGGCTCAAACAGGCCTTGGATTCAAAGCAACCACAAAATACCAGAAATGGGTTAAAAGGTATTGTAAGCCATGAAAGAATGGAATTGTCCATTCCATTGTTTGTTTTTCAATTTTCATCATGGAATGGAATCGACAATTCCAACCAAAGAGGATCATGGAATTTGATAACTCGTTCTTCACCTTGTATTGTTTTTTATTTTCACATTTTCTTTAAAAAATGCAGAGAATGGGAAATTTACAGGCAGAAAGAGGTCAAACTGTCGTTCACATTCACATTCAAACTTGTATTGTTTTGAACAGGATGATGGTTGCTTCAATTGCAATTCTGGTATGAAATTTTACAGCTTCATTTTTTTTTTTTATAATTATGTTTTGATACAAGACCTTGCAAGCCTTTTTATTTGTGGATTCCAGAATTCAATTCCGGATTCCTTCATTCATGGAATCCACCATTCTATTTATCAACAAATGAATGAAAGTACATTGCTATTTTTAAACAGGAACTGAAAATGAGGCAGAGGTAAAACCACAACACAATGGCCAATTACATACAGACCCTCCAATGGCACTCCCATTAGTAACAGTCTCAGCTCCCTTATACACCAAAGAAAACGGCGTAATGTGGGCGTCATCACCTGACAGACTGGAATTACCGAAGCCATTCCACCATTCAAACAGCTCCGATTCCCCTTGCGTGTCGGAATCCGGTTCCGACATCTTCAGCAAACGGGAAGTAATTCAAAAGCTACGACAGCAGTTGAAACGGCGCGACGATATGATACTGGAAATGCAAGACCAGATTGCGGAACTCCGGAATTCGTTAAGCTCCCAGCATTCCCATTCCGCCCATCTCCAATCGCAACTGGAATCGGCAAACCGGGAGTTGTTTGAATCGGAGAGGGAAATCCAGAGGCTGAGGAAGGCGATTGCGGATATCTGCGTGGGGAATCAGAACGGGTATTTGGAGGTGGAGAGCGGAATGGAATCGGAGAAAGTGGAGATGTTGAAAAGGGAAGTGGGGGAATTGAAGGAGTTGATTGAAGGGAAGGATTATTTGCTTCAGAATTATAAAGAACAGAAGTCTGAACTTTCATTGAAGGTCAAAGAGTTGCAACACAGGTTGGATTCTCATGTTCCAAATATTTTGTAGTTTTTTTTTTTTAGTTTCTTGTGTATTCTTTTCTTATTCTGATTAATCGGAAATCTTCATTTTTTTTTTTTGGTTTTTTTGGTTTTTGTTTGGGTGTTTTTGGGTGTAAGGGTTTATGATTTTGTGTGCATACGTAGAAGAAAACCATGGCTGATTATGGATACATGGAAAATCTTAGGAGATCAAAAATGAGGTGGAAATACACTTAATGTTATCGTGTTATACTTTTTGTTTTATGGTGGTTTTTGCTGGAGATGAAATACTTTTCATTTCAAGTTATTAGATTTGTTTCTTATTAATTTTTGCTTTGGATATGGTTCATGGTTGTCACGTATACTTGCTTAATTGTCGTATCAACATTCATAATCTATTTAATTCATGTAATACCTTCAACTTTTTAAAGTTTAATAGAGTTCCAAATCAACATACTATTGTTTTTTCATTTGATTGGAAATTGGGCTTTTTTTTTTTTTCATATCGCTCTCCATTCCCTCTAAAGACTTGCAAATCGCGAGTGAGCTTGGGCCTACCAACTTTTTTTCCCTTTAACCCTAATGTCTTGCAAAATGTAAAAGTTGCATAGAGAAAACAGAAGATTTGGAAAAAATAAATAAAAATAAAGATGTATTTGATTGTGAAAAAATTTTAGTTTTCTAGAAAACTTTTCTAAGAATAATGGAAAGTTAGAAAACATAATTGTTTTCTATTTTTTAATTTTTATTTTCTAAAATATAAACCACACACACCCCAATCCTCAGTTCCCCACATCTACTCCAACCGTTCACCCCAATCTATTGTGTTATTTTAAATAACAAAATTTAGAAAATGAAAAGTGATAAAAATACATATCCAAACATGTTTTCTCATTTTTTTTAAATGAAAACTTAATCAGTTTTAACCAAATGTATTTTCTAAATTTTCTACCGAAAATGAAAACTCCTCTTTTTCATAAAAACTTTTCCAAAAGAACTGAAAACTTAACTTCACATATTTGCAGTTGTTTTTCACACTTTATGTGGTGATTTTGGGATAAAAATAAACGGATGGCCACCTAGCTATATTTTTATATTAAAATATGATCATTTTGATGAATAACTCTAACCAATAATACACGAACTATGATTACAATGGTGCTAAAATTGGTGGTTTGAATAGATAACAATTAAGCCGCAATCAAACAAACTATATGATCTTAAAACTTTAATAACCAATTCAACTTTCAAATACAATGAATGCATATCCTTTTTAATCCAAAATCATTTTCTTTATTCTTGACAGAAGCCTTTTATGAAACAAAACCGCTTCAAGAATTCAAATTCTTTTGTTGAATTTGAGGAATCTTGATACCATAATCAGCAAGAACTTTAGGGATTTCTTGATGCACTTCTTGTCTGATTTCTTGACGAATTTCTTCCCTCATCTCTCCACGAATTCGTTCAAAATACTCCTTCAAAACAACAAATTCAACAATTAGTTTCAGAATTATTTCCTGAAACATACAGATGATTGTAATTTGTAACAAGACAATGATTAAGAATCTTGCAGCCATGAACAAGAGAAACAGCTGTAAACGAGTTTTAATCTCAACAACACAATGTCAAGATACTAATTTGGTGTCAGAGTTGCTTAAACATGATACATTAAAGCTTGAAAAATTACATTGTTCAAATACAAAGACAAGAAAGTTTTGCGTTGTGTGTCGTAAAATAAAGTTGAAAATGACGTCGACTTACTTGTGCAGGCGCGGCGAGGAGTGGAGGAGGCGACGATGTGCAGCGCTTCACTGGAGGCCGGCAAAAATGGCGTCGACGATTGAAAGAAAAGTCACCGGAGAGGGACACATGGGGATTCAACACAAAAGGGGAAACTTTTAAAATATAAATATAAATAACAAATAATAATATTGCTTAACTATTCTTATTTAAATCTAAAAAGAAAAAATCTTTTTGTAAGTTAAATTTATAAAAATGATTATTATGTTCATATTTTTATTTATTATTGTTTTTATTTTGATAAAATTTTAACCATTGCATAAAAATTTATTGTACAGTTTCCCGCCAAAATGATGTAGCTTTCACTACAACCACTCTTCGATCTCCAATTTCCCTCTTTATACTAAACTGATAGACACGATAAACCCTAACGCATCTTCTTCATCTGCTTTAAAGGATTTTCAGGACTCTATTCACTGTTCAAAGCACAAATCAAACCAGAAAATGAAAGGAGGGACCCTTCAGATCAATTGGCACGACACAAAACCGGTGCTAACCCTAGATTTTCACCCTATTTCTGGCATCCTCGCCACAGGTGGCGCCGATTACGACATTAAGGTTTTTTTACCTCTTTACCTTTTCCCTGAATCTATCTATGTATACGTTTATATCATGCTAAATTTGTTATCGTAAGTATTGCTACTCGCTATTTGAGCAACTTATAGCTGAGTTTGGAAGATTAAGTTGGGAATCGAGTTTTATTGTGTTTATACATGTATCCGTTACCTTCGTTTTACTTTCTGAAGAGTGTGGAGTGGTATCCTTGAATTAAATTAGGTAGTTTTGGCTGATTGAAACTGGAAATTTTGTAAATGAGAAGCTTTTCCTACCAATTGTTGTTGACATATGAACTGGAATTCCACAGCTATGGCTAATAGCTTCTGAAGAAGGTGAAAAGAAAGTTCCTACAGCTACTTACCAGAATAGCCTTTCTTACCATGGATCAGCTATCAATGTTATCCGGTTCTCCCCTTCTGGTAAACACAGTTTCCTCTCACCTATATGCATATATATATATTTATTTTTTGGTTACTACAGTATCTATTCTGCAAGATAACTGAATCAACAGAAAAGAATGGCGATTCTGTATCTTATAAAGTTATCTCCTTTTGATAAATACAGGAGAGCTGCTTGCTTCTGGTGCTGATGGTATGACTTATCAACTTCATTCATCAACCCACTATTTCCTGTCAATGATTCATAAAGAAATATCTTTATGATTGCATTTTTTTTATAAATTCAGGGGGTGAGCTAATAATATGGAAGCTACACAACACTGATTCTGGCCAAGTATGGAAGGTTCTCAAGACATTATCGTAAGGCTTTTCATTTTCATATATATAATATCAATAATTAATAAAATCCATTCATGAAGAATCCATATTTAGGGCTTCAATTAATCAAATCAACCCTACTAATGTAAGAAATTAGACAGGTTTCATCGAAAGGATGTGTTGGATTTGGAGTGGTCTACTGATGGCTTATTTCTCATTTCTGGATCAGTTGATAACTCGTGTCTCATATGGGATGTTAATAAAGGTAACAAGAAAGAATGTGATCCCTTAAACAACTATAAATATATGATTATTTGATTAAACTTTTTTTAAATTTCAGGATCTGTGCATCAGATTCTAGATGCTCATTTCCATTATGTTCAAGGTGTAGCATGGGATCCTTTAAACAAATATGCAGCATCACTTAGTTCAGATAGAACATGTCGCATATATGTCAACAAACCACAAAATAAAACAAAAGGAAGCGAGAAGCTTAATTATGTATGTCAACATGTTCTTGCAAAAGTGGAACCACAAGTGGTGGAAGAAGTCAAGGTCAACAAAAAAAATGTCTTAAATCTTAATTTTATAGTTTTTTTTTTTTTTTTTTTTCTTACACATTGTGATATAAAATTACAAACACAGTCTGCTAAACACCATCTTTTCCACGATGAGACACTCCCATCTTTCTTCAGAAGATTAGCCTGGTCACCTGATGGCTCATTTCTTCTCGTCCCAGCTGGTAAGGGTAAATTAGTCATTTACTCTTCATAATTTTTATTTATTTATGTTTTCTGATTTTGTAAATGTGATTCTTATACAGGCTCTTACAAGCTCTCACCCACTTCAGAACCTGTCAACACTGCTTATATTTTGTCACGAAAAGATCTCTCAAGGCAAGATATGTTTACTTTCATCTCCCGATTTTATTTCTGGCTTTTTTAAATTTACTAAATTACCCCTTGGCCCTTACAGGCCTGCTTTAATGCTCCCTGGTGCAAGCAAAGCTGTTGTAGCAGTGCGTTTCTGCCCTTTGGCTTTCAGTCTCCGTGGGTTGAGCACCTCATGTAAGTTTTTGATGGGTGTAAGTAAAAGACGTAAATGCCCTCAAATGAATTTAAATAACTCCAGTGATGTTTGTTGTAGGTTCTTCATCTTTCAAGCTCCCATATCGCCTGATATTTGCAGTTGCCACATTAAACTCATTATATGTTTATGACACTCAAGGCATTGAGCCAATAGCAGTTTTAGCTGGGCTTCACTATGCAGCCATTACTGATATTTCATGGTAATGTAGAAAAAACTTTTTTAACAACATTTGTCATTAAACCTTTTTTTTTTTTTTTTTAATATTATTTCATTTTAATTGAGACTTGTGAAAATATTAGGTCACCAACAGCCAAGTTTTTGGCAGTGTCTTCTCAAGATGGTTACTGTACACTGTTGGAATTTGAGAACAATGAATTGGGATCACCTGTCTCTTTCTCAGGTTCGTTTTAATTTCTTCATATTTTAAGTTTTTAACAATCCATTTTTCTTTTTTAATTATAATTTTGATTTGTCAGAAAATAATCAAGTCTCATCCGAGCAAAATATAATCAATGTTGATGATCTGGAAAGCACGGAAAGAATCGGGAAAGAGAACACCATTGTTATTGATGATACTCAGGAAACAGTGAAACCGGAATCGGAATCGGAAGCAAAACCGGAACCGGAATTGGCACAGCCAAGTGTGGTGATTCCAACGGAAGAGAAACCGGTGGTTCCAAGTAAACCAGCCAAGAGACGAATTACACCAATGGCCATAGATTAAGCTTAGTTTCTGCATCTTTTTGTATTCAGATTCAAGAGTATATTTTTATTTTTATATATTGATTTGTATAATTTTGAGGAGAGTGGATAATGGTCTTTAGATTGAAATTTGGCATACTAGCTTAGCTTGCTATCTTTAGTTCATGTTTGGTGGATTCACTGAAAATATTGTTTTTAGTTGATACACTGATGATAACTGATAAAACGTAGTTGATAAGCTAGATGTCAAATGTAAAAAGATATATAAGGGTGTATTTGGAAAACGTGTAGAAAAAGCCCAATCAGCTTATCAGTAAGCTATCTCAATTAGTTTGTTTAACCTAGGTTATAAGTTATTTTAGTCATCTTACCTAAGTTTATCTGGTGACATGATAACATTTCATGTATTTTGTATAGACCAAGTTATATATGTCTCATATCACTACTGTATGATAGTCTGTAGTGCACTTGTCAAAAAAATTATTCTTGATTGGCCACTGAGCATGAGAGTTGTAACTTGGATTATCGTCGGGCTGTCTCACAAGAAGTGAAAATGCGGGCAAGTGTATGTATCCAATGTGCTCAAAATGTAAAGTCTTATTGGTGTCCAAAATGGAAAGGGCTCCACAACTTGTGATGTGAAAATTGTGGATGTTGAACATGTTAATTCAAATTTTAACCTAATAATTGTGAGTAAACTAAGCGATAAAGAGTGTATTATAAGTTTTTTTTTTTTTTTTAAAAAGAACATATTTGCAAATATTTAAAGATAGTAAAGTAACTTTAATTGTTTGTAGTAAAACGATATGTGTGTAGTTAAAAAAAATAGTAGAATGAAGTATGTCTAACACTCCACTTTTTACACAGAGTATATTCAAAATTTTATTTATTATTATTATTTTTTAAAAATTTAAAATATGGTGTACATATATGTCAAACACCTAAATACAAGTAATAATCAATAAGGATCATATATAACAAATTTCAACAACGTTCGAAATGGGCGTTACCATATCTTCATTATGCTCTTGCAGTCTTTCTAAATTTACATAAACCTGAAAGGCACAACAACAAAAAGATTAAGTTATAAAGCTTACTGAGTAACTGATAGAACAGAGGATAATATAATAGAAAAGAGAGAGAGAGAGAGAGAGAGAGAGAGAGAGAGAGAGAGAGAGAGAGAGAGAGGAAAATACTTTCACTCCATTCTTAATGATTACAAGTAAAATAAATCAGCTCAAACAATACCAACAATGGAAGGTTTGCTGCCCAAGCTACAAAGCCTTATTCAAAGATAAAAAGACGTAAGGAAGGAAATATGAGAGATTTCTCTATTAAATAACATCAGCAATTTCTCTCTCTTCGGTGTTTGTTACCCCTACCTGTTGCAGCTAATCCTTTGTCACCTTTCTGGAACCTTCTCCGATACACCCTCCAAATCGGGGGCCTGTTAAGGGAGACTGTGTTGGGCTCAAATTGGGCTAGGCTAGCTGGCCTATTGTCCTTATCAATACCATCCCCTTGAAGTAGAGGCTTGTCCTCAAGCCTAAATTCAGGAAATTTGGACTGGATGGAGAAAGCATCTGCCCATGTTGAATCATCTGTGGAGCCGTGTTACCAGTGTATGAGTCATTCCAGCACTTGGCTGTTGTCCCTGTTAATGGTGCGAGTGGCTAAACATTTCAAAGGTCGGGTGAAACGAAGTATGGATGGGGGTTAGCGACCGTACACAATCTGAAACGGGGTAGTGTTCGTTGATACGTGGAAGGAGGTATTGTGCCAATATTCAACCCAAGATAGCCAATACGACCACGTCTTAGGTTGCTCGGAGGCGAAGCAACGAAGGTACGTTTCGAGACTCCGGTTGACCACCTCGGTTTGGCCATCAGTATCAGGATGATACGCAGAGCTGAACTTGAGCTTACTACCTTGCAGGGAAAAGACTTCCTTTTAGAATGTGCTCAAGAACAAAGGGTCTCGGTCACTAAGAACTGACTTTGGAAGTCCATGCAATCATATTATCTCACATAAGAACAC